TTTTCTTAACTCTTTCTTAAGATCCTTGAATACCGCTGTTTGTTCTTCCATCAGTTCCTCACTACTAATCGATTTCTCTAAGTTTCTTGCTTTAACACCTTCAGCCGTCTTATCCTTATCTTTGTTATTTGCTTTCCCGCTCTCCAGCTCCTTTTCTGTCTCCCTATACAGGGTATACAGCCTTTTTATACACTGCGTTACCGTAACTTTTATTTCTGTTTTCAGGTTTCGAGCTGCATCCAGATTTTTTAGGGCGCTCTGCTGAACGGCAGCCGCTTCCGTATTCCGACTCTTATATGATGTTCCCGATCTGCTCCCAGTCCTATCATCCTTCCCCTCCTTTTCTATTGCATCCTTCGTCCTTATCACGAACGTTTTCCTTCTTTCCTCTGAGGCTGTCGCAGTTATAGTACCTGGTGCCGAGGAGATGTTCGAGAACCGCGATGCTAGTTCCGGTACCAGACCCTGTGATAATCGTCTAGGTGCCTCGGCATCAGCTTTTTCCTCTCTAGGGGGATCGGGAACATCTCTCGTGCATGGGTGTGGGTGAAGCGAGGTGTGGTGTTCTGGGGGTGTAGTGGTTGTGGCGGTATGTTTTTTAATAGGTGTTCTTAGACCTAACATTGTTACGGTTAAGGCGGTTTATATCCGAAAAACAATATATTGTTATGAGCTATAGATTTCGGTATGAACCGGACAAGATAAACTCAAATAAAATAAATTATGTCAGCCAGTAGTTGCGTCGGTGCCACTGTACTGAATGTATAGCTTTGTAAAATTTTAGGTTCAATTTAAAAGTTTGTAGACCGGCGCAGGGACCCTAAGTGTATGCACCAGTTTGCAAAGTAAAAACTTTAAGGAGTCAAAGCTGTTAACTTTTAACTTTAAAACACGTACAGACGATTCAGTACAGTTGACTCATTAATTTAAAAAATTAAATTTACAATACTTAAATCTAATAAGAGCGCCAATAGGGCGGAAGTCTTATATATTTATTTTCCTAGTATAATATCTAGGTGTCGCCATCAAGGTCGACTGTCGATATGGTCGTCAATTTAACAATTTGTCAGTAGGTAAATCTCTGCTTAAGCTGTGATCTTCTTAGTATAACTTAATTCTAATAAGCACGCCAATAGGGCGGATGTCTTATATATTTACTTAATGAATATCACAGGTTTAGCTATGTCACGATATTTAATGAGTAAAGAATAGTCGCAAGACTCCGTCCAGTATTACATCGCAGTATGTGCGTAAAGTTTAATATACATTTGTTAACGTATAAGTAATCAAGAAGAAAGAAAATAAGTTGTTATTAAAGCTAAAGGTTTAAGCTACGACTATAAATTCTTATATTGTATTAAGGTTACTGTTACACATTACTATTTTTGAGAGTAATAAATATTTCGTTAGTTTTAATTTTACAGTATATTATTACGTCGATTGTTATTTATTTAACTGCAACTGCACTCCACAGAATTATATTTATAGAATAACGGCTCGAGGTAGCCGGCTTAATCACCTTGTTTACTTCACTCGAGCGCTCGTTAGTTCAATGGAATGTTGTTTTGCTTCGAAGTCCGCACGCGGCGTCGATTGGAATGCGGCGGTGCCTGGTACGCTCGATCACGCGATACTTCTTGGTTGTGTGCGTGACCCCTTTGCTTCGCTACCTGAGGCGCCTCTTGTTACATTCCAATGTTGTTTACTTCTCGATCCCCGCGCAGTTTTATGAAATGTAATATAATTAAAGATAGATGACATTCATATTATTATTTTTTTTTTTTTTTTTTTTTTTTTACGCACATATACTATTATCTATGTTTCTTTATGTAGTTCTATTTATGCTTGAATAGTATATTTAGTATATTTTGTCACTAGGTATCACTTTGTAGTATCTTATTTCGTACACATATGATGTAGTTATATTTCTTTATGCAGTTCTACTCACTTATCCACGCTTGACTAATATTGTTAGTATATGTAGTCACTAGGTATCACTCTTTTTTTAGTTAAGTAAAGTATATTTTTGTTCATTCATGGTATATTATTATATGTTCATAACTTTTGCTTTTATTTATTTTAATTGTTGTATTATTATTGTGTATTTATAAGTTTTACTTAGGTGAGTCTATGTATGTATATTCGTAAAGCAAGATGACGTGATCGGAATGCAGGGGCGGTGCCGTGCCTCGGTCGATCGCGCGTTGTTTACGGGTGTGTGCGTGACCGGTCGACTACCTGAACCGCATTCCGATCTATAGCGACTCGTGTTATTGCACTATTTTATGACGCGCGTATTTTGTTATTCACTGTTTTGGATATGATTTTAGTTTAATATTTACGTTAATATGGAATTTTAATCTCAAATTAATTATTATTACTGCTGATACACTAGTCACTTTCACTTATATTTGCGTGTTTTTCTTCGGAGTTGGCCTGTCTGCGTCACACCTACGCCACAGTTTTAAGGCCGGGAATCGAAGATTACGATGTCGTTTGGGGCCTTTGTGGCGACGTAGGGCGCAGCAGGTCACAGTGCAGGGTATATATATGCGTAAAGTGATAGGGATTTACACTTTTCACTGTTTCACGGTAATGAAAAATTCGAAATAAAAATATCGAATTATTGTGCTGCGTAGTGTAGCGCGGGGCGCGTGCGCTCCGTACGGCAGGAGAGTTGCGACTGGGTTAGGTTAGGTTAGGTTAGGTTCCCCCCCCCACTTCCCGGAGTCTGCCTGCTCAGACAAGGGCGAGAGGTCAGGCTCCGAAGAAGCAGGATCGACCGCGTGCAGGCAAAGGGCCTGCAAAGTCATCCGGCCCTCAAACGGCGAAAAAGCCGAAACTCAGGGCGCCTCGGTCTTCGGCGGTGGTATTAACCATCACCGAGGAGGCTACGAAGGCTGGACTCTCGTACAGCGAGGTCCTGAGGAAGGCCAGGGAGGGGCTGGACCTCAAGGAGGTCACAGGCCTCGATGGCATCAGGGTGAGGAAGGCGGCCACCGGAGCCACCATCCTCCAACTCCCCGGAGCCGCGAGCGGCCCTAAGGCCGACGCTCTCGCGAAAAAGCTCGGGGAGGTCTTGGACGGCGAAGCCGTCAAGGTGTCGCGGCCACAAAAGGCCGTCGACGTCCGAATTTCGGGCCTTGACGACTCCGTCTCGAGGGAGGAGGTGGCTGATGCCATCGCGAAAAAGGGCGAGTGCCCTCTCTGGCAAGTGAGGGTCGGAGACTTGAGGCGGGACCGCACGGGACTTGGCGCAGTTTGGGCGCATGTCCCTGTGGTCTCCGCGAAACGGCTCCTGGAGGGTCGATTTTTGGTGGGATGGGTGGCGGCGCGGGTGACTCTGGGTAAACCCCGGGCACTGCGTTGCTACCGATGCCTGGAGGCTGGCCACGTAGCAAGCCGTTGCGATTGCGCGAGCGATCGTAGCGGTCTCTGCTACAGATGCGGTCAGCCCGGGCACTTGGCGGCCTCTTGTACGGCCAGTCCGCATTGCGCGGTTTGCGCAGCGGCCGGCAAGGTGGCAACCCATCGGGTGGGTGGTGCCAAGTGCTCGGCCCCCACCAAAAAGATGCGGCGGAGAGTCCCGGAGAAGCGGGCCGCCGTCCCTCCGAGCGGGACCGCAATGGAGGTTGCCGAGACCGTAGGGGCCTAGTATGGCCCTACGGTTCCTCCAGGCGAACCTGAACCATTGCGCCAGGGCCCAGGATCTCCTATTCCAGGGCCTGGCGCAGTGGTCCATTAACATTGCGGTGCTTGCGGAGCCGTATGCGGTGCAGCAAGGGGACAATTGGGTCGGGGACTTTGGCGAGACTGTCGCCATAGTCGTCACCGGAGCCGTTGGCTCTCCCCCAATTGTCTCTTCACGGAGAGGCCAGGGTTGTGTCGCGGCGAAGTGCGGCAACGTGGTGGTTGTCGGGGTCTACTTCTCGCCCAACAGGACTCTGTCGGAGTTCGAGGAGTTCCTGGCGGAAGTAGACGCCCTCGTGTCGTGGGGTCGCCCGAATGAGGTGGTAGTGGCGGGGGACTTCAATGCCAAGTCGGCAGTTTGGGGTTCCCCAACCTCAGATATTCGTGGCGACGTCCTCGTCGAGTGGATGGCCGCGCACAACCTGGCGCTCGTGAACCGGGGCTCGACGCAGACGTGCGTCCGAATGCAGGGGGGGTCCATAGTGGACCTTACCTTTGCCAGCCCCGGGCTTGCGCGCCGCATCGTCGACTGGGAGGTGTTGGACGGGGAGGAGACGCTGTCTGATCACCGTTACATACGGTTCAGTGTCTCCTCTCAGTCCACGGCGATCGGGCCTGGCGCCCCTCCGGCGCAGAAGGGCCCTCGTTGGGCCCTGAAGTCTCTGGACAGGGAGATGGTGGAGGTGGCCTCGATAGTGGCCACCTGGTGTCCAGAGCCGGAGTCCTCTTCGGTGAGGGAGGAGGTGGAGTGGTTCGGGGCGGCCTTGGAGCGTATCTGTGACGCTTCAATGGCTCGGTCCCGACCTCTTCCGCCGCGTAGGCAGGTGTACTGGTGGTCGGAGGAGTTGGCCGCTCTTCGGTCGACTTGTGTGGTGACCCGACGCCAGTACACCAGGTACAGGAGGAGACGGCGTGCCTCGCGGAACACCGAAGAGGAAAGGCGCCTCTATTGCCTCTATCAGGAGGCAAAGAAGGCCCTCAGGATGAAGATCGCGGAGGCGAAGGAAAGGGCGTGGGAGGAGCTCCTGAACACCTTGGAGCTCGACCCATGGGGGCGGCCGTACAAGCTCGTAATGAGCAAGCTGCGCCCCTGGGCCCCACCCCTTACATCCAGCATGGAGCCGGCACTTCTGAACTCAGTCGTGTCGGCCTTGTTTCCCCATGCGGATGCTTCGCTTCCCTCCCAGTCGACGTCCCCTCCCCCGGACGCGGGGGTCCCGGACGTGACATCGGCCGAGCTCAGCTCGGCCTTGGACAGGACGCGAGGCAAGAGGACGGCTCCCGGCCCTGATGGGGTGCACGGGAAAGTT